ATGCTATTATGGTGATCTCTCTTAAGTTTATATCAATTTGCCCAACATCAGTTTGCAGAGTTTTGGGAACAAGGCTGGTTTCAATTCTCAATGATTTAAAAATGATAGGAAAAAAGTTGAAAATGTTACTTTGGATATTTGATGCCAGATATTTAAGGAGACTCAAAGAATTCAAGTTCTAGTCACGTTTATAGGTAGAAAACAAAAACCTCAAAGACAAGTGAACAAGGATCTAATATCCAGAAGCATGTACTATAGTTTTTATTGAAATAAAATTTTTGTCTCTAAAATCACTCTCATTTTTACCAAGATCACCTCATTAAGACTAATTGGTTTGTAAAGTAAGTCTGGTTTCAATAAATTTGGCCCAATTATTTACATAAGTACAGCAAGAATAACAATTGATCATATAGGCTCTTCTAAATCTGGTTTGCTGGAACTTTTTATAAAGAATCTCTGATTGAACTTTATAGGCCTCTTGAAGTCAGGGAAACCAAGTCAAGGACTTGTCAGACTTCTCTTGCAAGAGATATAGATTTGGGTGAATTTATGCCTTCTCTTGAGGTTTCCCAAAATATTTTGAAGTTTCTTGTGCCTGCCATAAAAGCGACCTTCTTTACTCACGTGTTAAGGTTGCTGGCAACCCTGTAAACAAGGTACTGGGCCAATACTTCCAAGAGGCTTTATTTCATAAAATCCAATCTTTGTTCCTCAAAAGCTGTCTTATCATATCTAGACTATCAATGCTTCTCTCAAATATGACCTTCCAGTCAAAGCTTTGATAATATACACAATGATGCCAATTGTGTCCTATTATAGAGAGAACAGATTCTTATTGAACTTATGCAAATAACTGTATTGCCATGAAAATAACAATATTCATTCACTAAAAGATTTCAAATTCTGCAGAGATAAGGTAGGGAGAGGAAGGTAAATGTTTCAATTTTGCTTACAAACGTATAATTTACTAAATTGTTATGTCATAGTTTGCTTCAGAGGAAAGATAGTTGATCTTTCATTAGCAATTTCATGAAGTCATCAGTTTCCCTATTAGAGTTCTGTAATTTCTTACCCATTTCAGTTTTATGATCTGAAAGTTTATCAGAAACCTGCATTTTAGAGTAAGTGTCAGAGTTCTTTCCATGAATCTCTCTATAGATGAAAATATTTGCAAAATCATCTCTCTAAAATAACTGTCTGTAAATGACAAAATATTTAAAAATAAGAATTGATGAAGAAAGTTGGTTATTTCTGTGACATGCAACATCAATATAATAACTAAAATTATGACTGATAACCAGGACAGATCAGAATTTTAGGAATGTTCTACAATTTTTTTAAAAAAATTGAATCAATAACATTTACCCACATGATATCCTAAGTCCATATGAAATAATGCCTAGTTATCCATGTAACCATGATGACAATTAAAGATTTTAAGGCAAATGCACAAGATTAAACAACTGTAAGAAAAACCTTAGCACCTGTGATTAAAGGCCTAATAGAAACAACACAGGAAATTTGTTTTGATAGAACATGAAATCCCTTCCCTTCTGGTAGACCACTCAGAGAAAAACCCTTCCATAGTCTCTTCATTAAGTGCAGACTAAAACTTTATGAAAATTACCCTTCTAGGAGAGGGAAAAAATAGATTCTAATTTTGCATCATGTTATACTTGATATCAAAATATATTTACTTAATTGAATTTATTTCCCTCTTAGCCAACTTGACCATGCACAACTCTTTTCTCAGGGTTCTTCCTCCACAAATATTTTATAACCTTTTTTTCATTCAGAATTTGTGCCATGTCTTTTTTTTTTCCTCCTAGTACTTTAGGACAAATTTATCTTTATTAACCAAAAATATTTCCATTCTTTATACCTTCTTTACTGAACACATATATCTTGCTATCATTGAATACAAACATATTTTCCTTAACATTTAGTAGCTTTAATCACATATTAGAATTTTTAAACTTTATAAACCTTAATTTCTATGTAAAAACTTAGTAAGCAATCATAAACATTCCTTTACCTTATCATTCTGTAGCTTGGCAAATTTATAAACACTTTTCATAATCTTTAGAAACATTACTTCATGGTACAATCTTTTAATATAAAAGAAAACATGTTTACTAATAGATCCAAACATTTTTTGTTTCTCTGTAATAAGACAAAAGTAGGTAAACTTAGACTTGTTTAGCAATTAATGTTTCGGTATTTTATCTTATTTGGAATTTATCTAGATAATGAATTTTTAGCACTTAGTTTAACCTAGCAACATTCTAAAGTTTTGAGTAACCAAAAAGAATTTGGAAGCTATTTCTTTTCATGTATGCAGAACATAAAACAATTATTGAACTCAAAACCTCTTACTCATTTTCATCTAGCTAAATCATTTGTTTGAAACAATGTGTTTTGATTACACCTTAAAATGTCATGAAAAACTGGACAAAATTAGCTAGCATTTAAAACTGTTATTTTTGCTGACAAACTTGTAACAGATAACATAAACTTATTTCACTAGTAACCCGATACTGCATGTTTGCATCAGATCCAGTGCTGATAACTCTGATAACATGTCTATTTCAATCAAACCAACAAATTTAAATAATCTTTTATTCATCAAAGATTATTTCTTATCATGTGAATTTGAAAGACATTTGGGTTGTTTCTATTATATTTTCAATTAATTTATGTAAGCACTTAGTTTAAGCCAGTTAAAAAAAGCTCTTAATTCTGGCCATACCATCTGGAGGTAAAATATCACACATATATAACATCTATAGACACACATCAGTACACAGGTAGACATGGGCAGGACAATATAGCTTCCATTAAATTTTTGTTATGAATCAGTTGCATTACAAAACTCACTGGTTTATGAGAAAAATTTGGATTTCAAATAATGGTTTTTAAATCCTAGGGAAGATGGGAATAGAGAATCTACATCATAAAGGAATAGAGAAAGCCATCAAGTTTTCTTCAAGATGGAGTTTCTGGGGCATATTTATATATGTGTAGAACATATATAACACAGAAATTATCAATTTCTAATGTTTCAATCAATATCTAGGAGCATGGGAGGGCAAGTGAACTTTCAACTCCTTTCTAGAGCCATACTCCCTCCACACGCCTTGCAGAGATTTGCAAGCCAAAGACCCAAAGATGTTTACTGGAACTGGATTACAGTTTAAATGACAAAAGAGGATAACACCCACTCCAACTAGATTTTTACAATTCCTTCTTTGCATCAGGGAAAATTTTAATTTAAGAGGTGACTCAAAAGATGCTCATGTTATAAAACTTTAGGACAATGTATCAGAATTTTAAAAGTCTGCACAAAGCATTTAACAAAGGCTTTTTTCCTAAGTGTACAGTTCAACACTAGACCAATTTACCTGGGAGAGATTTTATTATCTCTTTTATTAGCACTTGATATTAGCCTCTAGTCTTCATCTCATAAGGTCTAGGCCCAGGAAACCCTATTGACTTCTGTTTGTTATGTTTAATTAACATTGTCTGAAGAGCATATTTATATGTTGGATTATGATCAGGTAGGGGAAACATCTCCCAGTGAGAGAAAATGCCTATCCTTACAATACAATTTATAATACAATCAGGCAAAAAGAGATGTGATCACTTCACATAGAACCTGTGAATATATCAATTTTCCTACAAAATTGCATTGAATTCCATCAACTCTTATACCTCTAATCATACATTTCATTAGGACTTTATCAACTGTTTTCGGTCTTATACTATTGGGCAGGGGAAGCTGTCCCAGTCAGATATTTTCAAACATACTGAGGAGAAGTTGATATAAAATTAGCTGAGACATTCCAACCTTCATAATCATAGCAACACTTATACTTTTACATTTTATCAATTTAATTGTAACCTGAATCAAGGTCTTAAGGCTAGTCATTCTTTTTCTTTTTTGTATTTCTTTTTTAATTTGGCTTTTTCATAGGTACCAATAAAGTGATTAGGTTCAGAGCTCTCAAAAAAATTCTTTTCCATATTTAGAAATTTTTCTAATTTAGTGATCCATCATCTGGCCACAATGATGAGTAGATCTTAAAAATGACTCATACTGATAAACTTAACGATGGACACATGACACATCCCCAAAAGATATCCAGAAAGTTCACTTCCCAAAAATAGTGTAAGAAAGCCAAGGTCATCATTGCACTAAAAGAAACAAAAGTTGAGATGACAAAGTCCCCTTATGAAAACAACTGGGACCCTTTATGACAAATTTCCCTGAGAGCTGACACAGTAAACAAAGAAAGAGCCTCAGAACCTCAGTGTATTTGACTGGCTACCAAGATTTACGTCAGTTGGTGCATCCTCCTGATGGCAGAAACCAGAAAGATTCACAAAGCCAAACTCAAGACATAGAACAAGACAAAGAAAAAGAAACTCATTTTATATGCACACTAACAGTTTTAGCTAAGCCTTGGGTCTCTTGGAGCCAAATTAATAACTAGAAGAGAGGTGCCATGGGGCTGTGTGTGATTTTAGAAAGTACCTTATCACACAGACATTTTGAAGTTGACAGGGTCTGTCATCTACCTCATTCCATGATCCAACTTATCCTGTCATTGGAGACTTCTTGAGCTGACAAGTTCCCTAACACTCTTAACTCCTTGACCTTTGCCTACCAATTGTGCGTCCTTTCTAGCTTCCAAGATGCCCTTAGCAACAGCTTTCACCTCATGCACATATTCCCAGACAACCGGCTTGTAGAGATGCCTGTGTCTTATAACAAATGACAAAAAAGACAGAAACAAGAAAAGATAGTGACTATCTCTGGGAGAAAAAGGATCAATGGCCAATGAGTACTCAAACCAAATCCTAGAGTCACTGAGTCCAAGAAGCTAGATTCACCAATATTTTCTCCTGATATTTAGAAAGGAAAAAAACACGTACCACTCTCATGTCCATTGTACCCTGCAGGCAGACATCTGGGAGACTGACATGATTAGAACTATTACCTCCTGCTGGCTCTTGGCAGAGGTCCAGGATCTCTCCTGCAGTAGTCCAGGAGTGAACAATGTACGGCAAGTGAAATGTGATGCTGACTAAGTCCCCAAGCTGTAGGGCAGGAAGAGAATTCCTCTATGCTTTCTAGGTCCTTCTGGCAGGCCTAAGAATTAAATTGACATGAGACAGAATAACAGGAGAAAATTAAACAAAGCTTTATAACGTGCTTCCATGGGAGAAACTCGGGAAGACAGCAACTCACCAAAATGGCTGAGGTTGCCACCTTAAAAACTATTCTTAGCTAAAGAAAAAGTAGGGTGTTGGGGGTAGAAGTTAGAGTTGAAGGAGAAGGAAGGCAATTTATATGGAGAAGGAAATGCAAATGGGCCAACTATGGACAATGTGACCTTAGAGACACATTTTAAATTACAGCACTGTTATCTTATTGTATTAACTCCTCCCTGGAACAGGCCATTCTATTTTAAATTACTTTAGGCAGTTGAGGAGGGCATCAAAGTTTCCTTCAGAATCTTTTTTCTGAAAAATAATAAAGCCAAAGAGACAAGTTTCAGGATGGCCAACTCTGATTGCCCACAGAAGTGAAAAAGCCAGCAGGTTTGAGCACCAATCTGTTTAAAAGAGAAATGTAGACATGAGTGGAGTCTGATTTAACTTCTGTTTAATTTATTACTTAATTTGAATATGCAAACTTCTATGGAAACTTAAAGGATGAAAAAGAAAAATACTCAGTGATTACAATTCTGGATGAATCAATAACTTATTGGATTGAGGTGTGGTAAAAAAAACATAGAATAGGAGAATTGGTGGGTCTGTAAAGTGTTAATGTTTCACAGATGAAGCAGTTCTAAGAAGTAAACATGGGGAATAGTTATCTCCTTTAGTGTGGGTACAAGTTGAAAGACTCAGGTGTTGAGGTCATCAAAACACTGAGAAGCTTGAGACATCTGCATGAACAAGGATGATGTGAACATATCCTGGGAAGGAATTATAAACTATAACTACGAATGGACGTACAAGTACCTACTCCTTTTAGGATCTACTACTTGTAGATGGTAGGATCAAACTGATACCAGATTAAAAGGAAAATTATTTATTTATGTATTAGTTGCTCTGATCTAACATCAGCTGCCAATATTCTTCTTTTTGCTGAGACTTGGGCTAACACCTGGGCCCATGTCCATAGGTCCATGCTTGTGGTTCCCAACCAATGAACCCCAGGCTGCCAAAGCAGAGCACATGAACTTAATTGCCATGCCACCAGGCCAGCCCCTAAAAGGACAGATTTTTACTAATATGACTTTCCACTTGATTTCTGAGATGAAAATCTAGAGTTTCAGTACTTATCATCTGGTGATATAATTATTCTTAGTAGAGGGATAAGGAAACTGAGTCTTAGTTGCCCAAAATTAACCACAGAGCTAGTGTAGTATGCTGAATGAGGAACCAAAGATGCCTACACCCTAATCCCTGAAACCTCTGAATATGTCAGCTTGTATGGCAGCAAGGAATTTGTCGATGTGATTAAGGATCAAGTGATGGGAGGATTTCCCTGGATTAACTGAGAAGGCCTAATGGAATCACAAAATGCTTATAAGTAGGACCTCAGAGGGTTTCAGTCAAAGAGGAGATGCTGGGATAGAAGCACAGATAAGAGATTGGAAGATGCTATGTGGCTGGCTTGGAGATGGAGGAAGAGTCTATGAGACATGGAATGAAGCTGTCCTCTAGAAGCTGGAAAAGACAAGCAAATGGATTCTTCTCTAGAGGTTCGAGGAATGCAGGCCCACAGACACTTTGATTATAGCCCATGGAACCTGATTTGAACTTCTGGCCTCCAGAGATATAAGATAATAAATTTGTGTTGTTTCAAGCCACAAAGTTTCTGGTAACCTGTTATAATAGCAGCAGGAAATTAATACAGACATGACTCCAATACTTCTCCCCTCCATTTCCTTCATCATCAATTATCCTCTCTCAATTAGAAAGCTCTAAGAGCATAGGGGCATGCTATTATTTCTCCCATCACAGACAATCCTCACTTGACTTCATTTTCTTCTTCAGCAACTGCCCAATTCTGTTGTCTTCTTTATAGAAAATTTTTGAAAACTGTCTATGTTCTCTCTCTGATTGCTCTCCTCTCACACTTTCCTGAACCCAGTCTATTCAAGATTTTATCTCCACCCTTCTGTCAAAACTGCTCTTGACATTGTTTAGGTCAATTGCCAAATACAATGATCCATTTCAGTCCTCATCTTAATTTTTCCATTAGTAGCATTTGACTCTTCTCCTTGAAACAGTTCCTTCATTTGCCTTCCAAGACAGAACCATCTCCTGCTCTCCCCTGGACCTCATTAGCCCCTCCTTCTTAGCTTCATCTTCTGGTTCCTCCACTTTTCTAATAAATTCTTAATGTTGGAAACCCTCATGGCTCTTCTGTTCTCATCCACACTCACTCATGTAATCTCTGATTATCCATCTCTATGGCTTTAGAGTGACAACTATAGTATGACAAATATCAAATACATATTTGGTCTAGACCCCTCCTCTACCTCTAGATTTGCATGCCCATGGTCTACAGAACATCTTCACCTGGATACCTAACAGACATCTCAAACATACATGCCTAAAATTAAACTCATCCTCTTCCCACATTTGCTCTCCTACATTTTCTGCATCTCAGCAAACTGTAACTCCTTCCTTCCAGTTCCTTATCTCAAAGCATCTTGAATCAAATTTGGCTCCTTTTTTCCTGTTACCAAATATCCAGTATGTAAGAAAGCCTTGTTGAGTCTATTTTTATTTTTCTTACTATATTTTTTTATTTATTTATTGCTTATTTTTATGAGAAAGATGGTTCTGAGCTAACATCTATTGCCAAACTCCCTCTTTTTGCTTGAGGAAGATTGACATGTAGCTAACATCAGTGCAAATCTTCCTCTATTTTATGTGAGATACTGCCACAATGTGGATTGACAAGCACTGCTGGGCACATGTTCAGGGTACGAACCTGCAAAGCATGCAAACTTAACCACCACACTGGCGGGCCAGCAAGCATATTTAAATTTTGGAATATGGGTATATTCTAAGAACTTCTGACCACCTTTACTGCTCATACCTTGGTCTTAGTCAACATCATCTCTCAATGGAATTTTTCTAAAGAGCGGTATCAGAGGGGTCTTTTCCCTTTATCTTCTCAATGTAACACCCACAATGATCCTTTTAAAATAAGTCCACAGATGTAGCTACTGTGCAGTCATTCTCCATTTCATTAGAGAAAATGTCAAAGCTCTCTTGATAGCCTACATGCCAGAGGCCCCCTTCGTAGATCTGGAACTTATCTTCCACTACTTCCTCCCTGGCTCACTAAGCATCACATAACCTGCATTAGCCACCTGCCATCACATACATATTATAGGAACACACTTTTTTCTTTGCCTTCACATTTTCTGTTCAATATCCAGGAATACTCTCCCACACACGTTAATAGCTCAAACTCTTGTCTCATTCAAATTTATGCTCAAGTCGCCTTCCTGGTGATGTCTTTTCTGACCATTCTATTTGAAATTCCACATAACAATCCCACGGCCCACCGCTGCTTCTTTTTCTGCCTGCTTAATTTTTCTCCATATCCCTGTCAATCCTCATGAAGGATTTAAGATTTTAACCTGAATTTCAAGCTAGCAAGTTAACTTGCCGTGCTTTCATGGATGTTGGTAGAAGTCATGAAACTTGTGGCTCACAGAAGAAGAAATGTTTATTTATTACTCATAACAATAGCTGTATACAAAGTGAGAGCATTTTTCCACTTTTATTGAAATATAGTTGATATATAACATTGTGTAAGTTTAAGATTTACAATGCGGTAATTTGATACACAGTTATACCATGAAAATGTTTCCCACAAGAAAGTTTGCTGCGCTAGGTCCTTGATCCCCATTTCTACAGGGTGAATTGAAGGGGCCCACATGACATCTGAAATTTCAGGTTGACTTGCAGGAGGAATACCTGAGTTTAGGGAACTTGGATGCCTTCTAGCAGGCACTGAGCATCCCTGTCCTTTATCTGGAGGGAAACATTTTCTTTCTGTTACTGGAAAGCAGGCACGCCTTTCATTTCTTTGGAAAGAGCCACTATCTCTACATCCCAAAGCTGTTTACTGGGCAAACAACTTGAAAAACTACTGTAGAATGCAGGGGAGACAGTGCCTCTGCCTATCAGGGGTACTGAAGTATCAGATTCTAGAAAATTATCTCCCAACACACACATACCCATTTCGAACAGCTAAGTACCTATTTCCTTCATGGTTGTTTCTCCCACTAGCCTGTAAACCCAAGACATGTCTCAACTTAATTTAATTCTTGTCTAGTTTATTTATTGATAAAACAATGTCTGGCTTCTAAAGAATGTACAATAAAGATTTTGCTGGATTAATAAATGAATCAATAGGAAAATAAATGAGAACAAATAAAAATGCCAAAACATAGGCAGATGATTAAGAATTAAATTAATAAGATACACTGCTGTTGTCTGCAGCCGCAAAAGGCAAGGAATGACAGGTACCGCCAAGGCTACTTGGTTGTTTAAGTAATCGAAGTTTATCGATAAAGGGAAACAGAACGAGGAGCAGGGACAAAGGGGAACAATAAATCGGTACTTACAACATCCACACCACAATCAGCTGGGGAAGTCCCAATAGTTTGTAGGGCTGGTGGGAGTGTCGATTGTCCGGGTCTGAGGCAAAGCGTCCTTTCCTCAGTGAGACTTCCAATTGTTCTATGCTTGTGACTCCCTTTTATACTAAGCTTTCTCTAGTTTCTGACTCAGGGTTTCAGACGTTTGGATACTTTGAGTCATTTCTTCTTGTCCCATGGATGGGGTACTTCTATCTCTTTTCCTCCCACAGATGGGATGTTTCTAAAGACCAGTCAGGTGGCCATCAGGGTGGCCAGCCCAGACAAGGAACATGACGCAGGACATATTCTTTGTAACTCATGCCTTAGAATCAGGGCCAAAGTGGCCATCTTTGGCCCCAAGCCCAGACACAGTCTTTGGTGTGTGTGGCCCAGGCCCAGTGTCCTTGGAAGATGGGGAGGTCAAAGAACTCTGTACAACTGATTTTAACAAACAAAATACAATACTGGAATTTTTTATAATATTTGATAGCTTTGCAAAATATGGTAAATAAACAAAAATTATGCAATCTGTAAATATTGAGCATTATTTCAATTTATAAATAAACACAAAGCTCCACATTTCTATAGGAAAATCATGAAGGAAAATGCACCAAAAGTTCAGGAATTTTTAAATGAGCTAATTATAAGTTACTGTTACACTCTATCCTCTCCATTTTATTTTCGTGTTTTCTCTAATTTTTATGTATTATTTTAATAATCGGGAAAAGCAATCATCCTTACTTTGTAGTCTTTACTATTTCTTAAAATGAAAAACAAGTAATGAACCTGAAAAAAAGGAGAGGCTGGCAGTCTGAAACTAGAGATGCTGCTTTGAATCACCTCCACCAACTACAGAAATACTCTCCACACTCTTAGACAGATAATTCTGGTAGAGCTCATGGTGCATAGCTCACATTCAATATTCTTCAGAATATGGATAATAGCAGTTATGTCAACAGCACTGAAAGAGCAGAGGGATATTAATGCATTAATTCTGTCTTCACGTCGTCAAAGAGGGAATTTCTCTGAGGATCTAGTCAGGATGGGCTGAAAACTAAATTTACAACCGTGTCCCTCGTTCTACATTAATACACATACTTGCAGGCTCCCTGCTCATGTGCAAACAACACCTACATGCCCAAATCTCATATTGCTGTGTAATATCAACACAAAAGTGAAAGGTAGTTTGATTAAGATTAAAATTTATATTTATGTATAAGTAAGAACTATGGCTAAAATGCTGTGGTCATTTCAGCCACAAGTGTAACTTTTGTCCGTAGCCAATAAGAATGATCATGATAAAGATTTTGCTGCTCTATTTGACACATTCACTCAACAAATATGTGCTGAGCACCCTCAACAATCAAGGGCCCTTCTGTTAAGGAACATCTAATCTGCTGAGGAGACAACATGAACACTTACATAACCACACCTACAAAAGGAGATTACTGTTTCCAGTATTAGTAATTTATAAGACTAGTTGTTATTCAATGATTAGCATTAGTGTCATTTTTCTTTTTTCCATGTTCTTATTTTCCTTTTTAAATTTGTCCTTTTCAATTCAATTTCATTGAAAACTGCATTGTGAGCAATTCTATGGGCCAGGAGCTGTGCTGTAGACATAAGACCACAAAAATAGTGAGACCAGGCTTTCACAGCCTAATGAAGGAGATCATACACTTACACATAAAAGCCTTTGGGAATAGGAAAGTTACTTTCGCAGAATCATGATATAGTTTTGAAAACAAGAAGGAGAATTTTAAGATCATTGTCTTGGAACTAAATCTTTATTCTATAACTAAAATTTTATCCCCCTTATTTCTAACCTCCCTTCCACACTTTTCAGTTTGATAAGTCTTCTTTCTCTTCATCCTGAGATGCTCCTGCAGTAATTGAACAACCAAATGTTATACTTGTGAACAAGTAAAGGCAAAGATGTAGAGGCTCCCAGGTGATAGTCTCCTAAAAGACAAAGCCCACTTTGTTCAAAGGAGTAAGACTTCATTCAAGAAACAGAGCAATCCAGAGGACCTCATCTTGGTGTGTGCCACTGGAGACATATCATTCACTAATATTAGTGTCAACTAATTTCATTATCCATTTATAATTCAGTTTGTGAGAGCACATGGCTGAGGAAATGAGAGTTGTGATGGGGAAAGAGGCCAAGGGAGAGATAAATTTGGAAGAAATGGATGGTGTCTTAAAAAAGCAATATCCATTAAGGAGAAATGCCACTGGACACTTAGGAGAGGAAGTGGAAGCAGAGCCATGGTACGACTTTTGCAGCACGTATGCACATTTGCCTGTGTGGGTCCTCCCTCCCTGCAAAATATTAACAATACATTGTATTATTATTTTAGGGAAAAAATGAATAGAATCCAGGCTGAATTAGTAAGTATGTAGGCTTTATTGCTATAAACATTTTTTCTCCTGATTTTAAAAAGTATTAAAGATGAAACATTTTATAGGCTCCCAAAAGTATAGTGGGCCTTGGGCACTGTATCTTCCATGTGGTCAACGGGTAAGTCAACACTTTGTGGAAGCTCACTAAACACAGAAATTAAGGCCCTGAAATTGGTGAATTCTCCACGATGAAAACGGATGATTTTACTTATGGTCTGTCCTGGGCCCTGCTCACAATTCTGTTGGGTCAGAGACTGAATCTTGGAGTGACCTCTGGTCTGAGGTGTACAGGAAGCACCTGTTTAGTCCTACACCAGAAATCAGGCCTGTCTTTCAGATTTAATGAAGCTTAGTTCATCTGACAACCTGCATGCTACGAAAAACAACTTGTGAAAAACAACCTATAGGTCACTTACAAGAGTAAGTGAGCATAACGGAAATTTTTGGTGAGGCCATCAATTGCTTTCAAGTCTCCTGAAGTCAATTTAATTCAAAGTCAAAAACCTGAAATGAAGGAGACAACCACTGTAAACTTTCTTCCATGCAGCTGGCTTCTACCTGGGAACTTGAGGACCATCCAGCTGTACGGAGGTAAGGAGAGCATCCAGGGAAGCCTTTCCTGTCATCAGCTTCCAGAGGTAGTGGCCTGAGACCTCTTCTTCCTGGGTTCTCCACATCTTCCACGCTCCCTATCCTCCTTTCTCCTCTTCACAAAAGAAAGATTCATAACTCATCAATCCCAATTCTTTCCAAGGGAATTGCTTGTGACAGAAAAGAAAATCATACCCTTTTTACAAACAAGAGCAGAGTTGGACATTCTGGATAGAGTACCTGCTGATTTGACACAACATTTGCCAGATTTTTCCTTCCCCATAACTCTCTAATATTTGATAGACTAGCTTAAGCAAGTGTTGGAAGGAAAAGCAACCCCCCATGAAGACTTCTCAAAGAATCTGTCACTCTCCAGAAAAAGCATTCCTTGATCAATTGTGGAATGAGACCACCTGCTCATCACAACTCCCAAACACCATTCTCTTCCCAGGAGAGTATACTCCTTCTTATAAAAGAAAACTGTTTCTAATTGATCTTTCAGACACTTATAGATCTTACATTCAGAGAGTTCTCCCTTTTGAAAAAAGTCTCTCTTAAGTTGAGATATATTTCTATTTGACAAAGCATAGCCCCTAATGGAGAGTCCACTAATAGCAAAGGAGACAGATCTTTGGCAAGAAATATGAAACTGTGAAGCTCATAATTTCATCCTGGGGGCAACTTCATGAAAAACTCAGTACCTTATCTTCCTAGCAAACTATCTATCTATCTATCTATCTATGTATCTATCTATCTATGTATGTGTCATCTACCTATGCACATATCATTATCTTAAAAATATACTCCAGAAGTGGTTTGGTTGTCATGCATGGGAATATGCATTAACATGTTGAATTGAATTGCAAAATAAAATTTGATTTTTTTCTGATTTGTTTAGCAATGATATTTAGATTTCTGTATTCAATATTTACATAAATTGAATGAACTAAATCTGTAGCTTCAAGATTTTAGAGTAAAAAATAATTATAAATACTATGCTCCATGTCATCTTTTGCAAATATTAAAGTCGTGATGGAATTTTCAGCATCACCTAAAAAGGAGAGAGAGCTTAAGTAATTTTTCACAATTCTCATGAGGTGCACAGCAAAATAAGTTGAAGACCACTGATTAAGATAAGGGACCAAGAGATGTATGAGGGAGAATTTGGGCAACAACTTTATTCATTTGTTTGTTAATTTGATCTGTCTACAAACTTATATGTAGTTTTTGACCTGTCATGAGCTCTGCTGGGGAAAAAATCCTAAAAGAGAACCTAGAGGTAGTCACTATATTTCAGGTCTTGTGGTCTAGAGAGCACAGGGTCATATATACAAACAATTTTAGTTTAATGGGAAAACTAACAGAGCCAACGCTAGGTCTATGGTTGTCAACAACTGTGCTGGTGTGTCTTGATTTATTAAACAAAGCACTAATCCCACTGGGGATCATCATGTAGAGTAGCCAGAGAAGAGGAACCAGGCTTTTACAAGTTCTTTAGTGCATGAAAAGACTGCTACAACTGATGAAAAAGTAGAGGTGACATTTTCTCAGTGTCACACAACTGTAAATGTGGAAAAGTGGCCTGGAAGCCATAAAATGTAAGACTCTGAGGTCAGTGTTTTCTCTTTCCTCCTTTCCAAGAGGCACCATAACACATAGGGAGAGATGCATGGGGATGAATAAACATGGGTGTTTCCTGAAATGAAAGGGAGATGTCCCCCAACACAGCACCTGTTACTCGCTGTGGAGAGACTCTCCACCCTGTACCAGGAAGTTCTTTTTGATTCTCTTCTCACTAAAGCTCTTGGCCAGAAACACCACTCCCAGGTGCAGCTCATAGTGTGGGGCAACCTGGCCAGTGTTTCAACTGTGTTTCTTGGTAATGGCATTCAAGATTGGATCCTCTGAGAGATATGGTCTATCCCTTTCCACTTTGAAAAAAGAAATCAGGAAACACATATTTAAAAGTTGTACAATGGAAAATATAGTGTCCTTCTCCTCAAATTCCTCAGATAATTGAGAGAAGTAAGTCACAATACAGTATGATTAAAAAAGAGTTTCATTAATACGTGTACAGATTTGTTCATAATTGTACCA